TCCGCGTCCCGCAACCCGGCCCGGCCGCACCCGCAGGGCGCAGCGAGAGGGCCGCATCCCCTCCCGGCTGCGCGCGGGCCCCGGCACAGCCCGCATTAGCATCTCTTCCCAACGCGGCCCCCGCCCAGCCTTGAACTTGGCCGTGCTGGGAGCCAGGCCCTGCCCGCGCCGGCGGAGACAATGCGGGTTGCCCCATTGTCTGGCTTGCGGGTTTCGGCTGGGAAATCAGTCACCTCCGGCATTGTGGAGGGAGCAGGCATGGAATCAGGGCACAATGGGGCGAGCCAGGCCCTGCAGGCCGCAAATCATCTCGGCGAGTATTCATTATAGCGTCTGGCCCAGCCTGTCCCTGCCGGGTTCAGCAGCCCTGCGGAGCAGGCTCAGCCTGGGAAAGATCATTCAGCTGCCGTAAGTCAGGGCTGGCTGGGAGAGGGGAGAGGCCTTGCCTCATTTCCCCCTACCTTGTACAAGCCAGGGACCGGAGGCCTCATAATCTGCTGCTCCCACCCTCAATTCATTTTTATGCCTTATTTTATTTACAAGAACCATAGCTCTACTGCCCATACTCACCCTGTTGCTAGAAGGGACCAAACACACAGCTCATGGTGGTTAGGGAAGCCTTTATTTTAACAGTTTTGCTTGAAACACTTGAAGGGAGGGAATTCCAGCTGCTACGTTTCTCTTACAGGCATAAAGGCCTTTTTGATACCAAGGCGGCTGTACAGGAGCTGGGGTGTCTGCCTACATCGAAACAACCAGCTTGTGGTGAATACATCTATTTTCAAAACAAAGTAACCTAGGGGGTATGAGGTCTTTTCCTCAACATACAGCGTGCCCACGATGCTTGCCACTTCATACATTTCATGTGCAGCTTATTCTGCCAAGAGGAGGAATCTTGTGACTAGAGAGAGTTTAAAAACCTAGGCAGAAGGTAGCATTGGCTCCTGCATTAATTAGCAAACCTGCTATGGCTCAGTCCAACAGATCAAAATAAATCAGATCCACATAGAGTCCAAGGATGTTGTCTCAATAATAATAATTACCCTGCCAGGGGGTTCTGTGAAAGCAGCAGGAAAGGTAGGCAGGCACAAAAGGCTCCCAAGAAAGACCTCCTGCAACACATGCACAACCAAGGTGCTCGCTGGCCCCCAGCCCTCACCCTCCAAAACCCACAAGGGTTGCACACACAATCCAGAAGCCCTCGAGGCCCGTTGTGGAAAGCAGCCTCTTTTTGGAGCTGTTAGCAAGGGGTGAGTTGCTGGTAAATTGACAGATGCAAAGCGCAGTTTCGGCTCTGGTGAAATCAATGCGTCCCATGTTCTTTACCGTCTCCGGTGACAGGAATCTACAAAAAAAGACACAAACAAAGGCCCAGCTGTTACTGCCCACTCCAATGAAAGAATCACGCCCAGAATCACGGCAGCGACCCAGGAACGCACTGGTGCCATGGATAATGCCAGTGCCCGCTCACGGGGCGTATTTCATGGAAGCATTCCCTTGTCGCAGGAACAACCCCCACCCACCCCACACTTACCAGACAGGAGCCCCATCCTCCAACATGCCCAGCATCCCCGGAGGTTCAACCCAGTGCTGCTGCTCCTTGCCTGTGGCAGGATATAATCCCTCTCTGTGACTGACAAGGCCCCTGTGCCACTGAAACACTTGGTTCCCTTCCTTCCGTGTGACTCTTTCTTCCGTGCCTTCCTGGTAAACCTCCCAGCCTCTTCCCGAGAGGAGCTGAGCTGCTTGGAGACCAGAGGTCCTGCATATGGCCAGCCAGTGGGAGGCGTTACTCTATGCCCTTCCTTCGAAGGCTTTGGGGCACGGGATTACTCCGCATGTCAGAGCCACTAAAGAAACAGCCCTCTGATGTTTTAATCTCTATGTTAACTTTCCCTGGTCTCAAAGCCCTTGTCTGTGGCAGGCCTGTCTGTAGAAAGTGATATTGAGCTATTTAGGCCGAGCCAAAGCTGCTCAAAGGCAGAGTAATCTCATCTCTCTTCCCCTTTCTTTCTTGTGGTTTTTCACACTTCTTCCCCTTAGTTTTTGCCTTTTTCTTTCTCTACATTTTCCCCAGTCCCCAGCACTTCTCTACTGGAATGGACACAGATCCAGTCCTTTGCCTTTGCCTTCCCCTGTTTATTTCCCTGGTTAATTCACATCCACTGGCTGTGCACATGGTGGGCTTGCTCCAGCTCCCAGGTAGATAATTCATCATTCATAATGAACCATCATTTGGATGATTTCATTTCCCCCTAAACACATCACATTGTCCTAAGAACCCTGATCTTCTACTCAACATTATTAGTAAAATAATTTCAACGAATAATTTTTGCTCTGTAGCTTTCTGAGAAGTCCCTACAGAGTAGTCAGTGTTTGATTGGTTGTATGTCACATGTTTATGTCTCTGTCCCATGATTGGATCATTGAGTGTAAGGGCTTGAATCATGTGAATATCAGCATTTGTGAATACAGTCTGATTTTCTGGGAGGTTCTCTAATACTTAAAAAATACTTAAAAAATCTCCCGGAGCATTTCTATCCTAAATGTCTTTGCTAGAATAGTCTTTAGAAATGTGATCCAAAGCCCCTAGAGTCAATGGAAAGGCTCCTTGCTCTGGATCAGGCCTATAAAGTGAAGAGAAAAGGATTAAATTATGCTTCAAGCAAATTCATTTTAAAACTTGATGGCCTCTCTGTCAGTGGGAGGCTTTCTGTATTGGCCTGGTTCTACTCTGGAGAAGGGAGGTCATGGAAGAGATGTGAGCAGAAGTGAAATGCCAGGAGATGCAGGGCCAGTGAAGTCGCTGGACAGCACCTGTTACCTCCAACTGCATTTGGCCTGACTTTCTCTTAGTGCAAGTATCCCATCCTGATCCAAAATCTGCCAGAATCAGTGGGACTCTCTGCAGGCTTCCATGGCTAAGGATCGGGCCCTACCTGCCCAATTCAGCTAGATCTCTTTTCCTGCTCCTGCCATGGGCAGTATGGCTCCCTCTGCCCATGGTGATGGCCCCCTGCTGATCTCCATTTGGATCACACTCTGTTGCTCATTTAGTTTCTTGTAGGTCTTACTAAGCAGCAATTTCTGCTTTGCTCACTCTCCCACCTCCTGGATTTTCATCCTGTGAACCCAGACGCAGATGAAGATTTCTGAATAACTGAATAGCTACCTAGAGAGGTCACTTTCAAAGGGAGAAGGAAAAAGAAGCACGTATCTTAGCGGGTTTCCCAGATAACCTCTCTAGGTTTGAAAGTGCGGGAGAAGCAGCACTGCTGATGATCAGTGGCCTCCCTCCCCTCCATCCTGTAGTCTGCCTGGGCTTGCTACTGCCTGAGGAGGGCACATCTCCTATGCAAGCAGAGGGACATTGGAATAAGATGTGTTTGCTCTGAAAGCAGCTCAGCTTTCGGCTCCCTTGGGGAAGTTTGCACCTTTGTGCATATGATGAAAACTTGAGGCAGGGGAGGGGAGGGGAGGGGCATGGGGAGGACTGGACAGGTGTGAACGTGATCCACCTTTTCCAGAGGGCTTCAGAAAAGCCAGACTCTGTTGCAAATACTGGTCCTGCCTGGTGCACAGCCATAGACCTCTGTCTCTCTTTATATGGAACCCATGAATAGGAAACGCTACAATATCATTCCTACATTGGCCTGAGACTCTGATCAGTCAGTGTTGGGAAACACAGCAGCCCAGTAGGGACTGATCCCAAGCTGGGCAGATTGTCCATGCTCTTCCAAGGACTTTGGATTGGGCCCTTAGCGAGGATGAAAAATAACTTTGTGGGTTTTGTCCTTTACATAAACTAAAAAGTAAATAATTGCAACAAATTGTCCACTCTCTGCCTTGGCCTGAGCCACGGGGATAGGGCAGGGACTTTGTCTCATTATTTTCATTTTTTCTAGAAAATCAGCTCAGTGTTCTGCTAAGCTTTTGTGGGTCTTTAAAAAATCTCTCCCACCCCTCACCCCGTGCTCAGGAGGCTCTGGCAGCAGCACAGGTAGCACTTGAGGGGGGAGAGGACCAGAAAATGAACCACAATAACACATACATGAGGGGCTTTTCTGCCTAAGCAGATTCCTTCCCTCTGCTAATTTCCTATTCATGCCCTTTGGAAGGAGGGACTCTGCCCCTCCTCCTCGCCTCACCCCATCGACCATTTCATAGACTCATAGGGAGAAACTTTCTGGACAATTTAATCTCTCCAGGGTGTTACTTAGCAAAACCCTTTTCACTGTCAATTTTTTTTCAGCTTCCCCTCCTTCCCCTTATTTTCCTTCCAGTCTCGATTGAATTTTGCAAGCCCCTGATATCTTTCTTTCTGTACAGACACATGCTGCTTATGCAAATAAGAGCCTTTCATACTCCCTCCCTGGCTCAAGACCTCCAACTTGAATGTGACCAAAAGCTGTGTTCTCCCCTGCTAACTCCTTAGCACAATTACACCTCCATTCTGCTCCAGGGGCCTGGGGAGGGAAAAATCATTTTAAACTAATAACACGTGCTGTTTGCCTTGGATAATTACAAGGGAGCTTCAGATTCTAAGAGCTATGAAATATTCCATTCAGTAGAGTAGGAAGGGAGGCCAAGAGTGTTATGCCTACACAGCATGTTTTATCTTCTGCACTAGAGGTGTGTGTGCGTGTACATGTGTGCGCGTGCATCTGTGCACATGGATGTGAGTTTGTGTGTGTGTTATATATAAATCAGGACACTGCCTAGGTCTTTCACTCATCCTGTGCTAATGCAGCCAGGCAATCATTTACATTTTATAAGCGGGAACCTTCTTTTCTGTGCTTTGGGCTATTGGAGGTAGGGAAATGCAGCTGACATTTTCTTATCTCAAATTACAATTTCCTGCAAATATCAAGATACTAAGAACATTGGCAATCTGAGATCCCAATGCAGCGAGTGCCTACGCTGTCCCTGACATACGCACTGAGGAATAGAAAGGGACCCAGGACTGAGAGGTTGGAGATGCTGGGGAGGAAGGACATCCCATGGGCCGAAGCCAGGCTAATAGGGCCTCCTGTCTGAATAGCCTTCATGCAGTCATTGTCCCCCTTCCTGCCTTGTCTCCCGGGGAAGTTTATGCAGAGGGTTTTGCAAGGGCAAGGAGGAGGAGGGGAGTTTGCACCAAAAGCACCCGGGAATGTGTCAAAAGAGGGAGAGAAAGAAAGAAGAAGAAGAAGGGAGACAGAGAGTGGGAACGTCAAGGACCCCTGACTAATGAATAGCAAGTTTGCCCTTGAACCTCACTGGGCTTCGCCATTCCCAGGCTCCAAACAAGGGCTGAGGCATGCCTGAGCCCAGCTGCAGGGGGACTGGGCTATGGTTCATCTCAGACACTTTGACAGGCCAGGCCTTTTCCCTGCATAGCTCAGACTTGCCTAACTGCTCCCCTGGCAACAGCTCAGTGCAGGAACCTAGGCTGAGGCCCTGTCTGCTGCATACAGAAGCAAAGAGGAGGAGGGGAGCTGGCTTGGAGAAACTAGCTGGAGACCCTGTTAACCCATCAAATGCTGGGCACCCGTTATCACCAACCTATGCACCCTCCCTCTCACCATGCTGGTGCGTGGATTCGTCTTGCATGAAGCTTTGCAGCCATTGCAGTGCTTTGTCCAAGCTTTAGTTAGGTGCTATGGACTTAATAACAGCCAAGCTAAGGTCAATGTGTTCTCCTAACCTGGCCCTGCCAGGTTAGATTTGAAAATATGGATGACCTTGGGAAGTGGTTAAGACATTGAGCTGGCATTCAGGAGACTCAGACTTGTACCAACCAGAGCCTCTGCTGTGAAATGGGGACAAGGGCATTTCCTACTTCATGAGGGATCCTCTGAATCTTGGACTCTGTGCTGATGAGTGTCATATAAGCAGGTGTACTTCTGTCAGGTTTCTTCTTTGTAATCAGTTGTGAGAGATAGACATGTGTACCTGGTGATGGAAACCTGGTTACAGCAACCACAGCAAGGCTACTAAATTGTCACAGAGCCCTGTAGGTATGAATGGTGCACTAGGCTTGCCCCAGTCCACCCACCATCATGGCTTTGCTGTACAGCAGTTCCCCTGTGGCTGTCACCAGAACCAGAACTATCTGACACATGGATGGGAGACCTCTCAGGTGCTGCAAGCATTGCTAGTGCTCATGGAGCAGGTGGTCCAGTTGAGTCAGCACCGCCCAAGGGCCTCTGACTCTGGGCTGAGGATTGTGCAGCCTTTCAGATAGGGAAAAGGAAGTCTCCAGTCAGCTGTGGTAGCAAAGTGCCTGGGCCAAATTCCAGTGAAGGAGATTGCATTTTGCCTACTTAAATTGATCTGGAAAAGTAATTTATCATGACCCACCTG